ATACATGGTCCCCTACGTCCATCCGTTCGGGAGTTATTGAGGAAAAACGAAAATTTGGAAGAAATTGAAGGGGTACCCCTTGGAAAAATCTCAAAAAAATTGAAAAATTTTTTTTTTGTTAAAATATCGAAAAATACTTCAAATAAAAGTTGTTTTTCTTCAAACGTCAGTATTTAACGAGTTAACTATGATTAATCGGCATTTTATTGGCATTGACGAAATTCGGCCTTCCCGTCGTCAAAACAGTTATTAATAGTTTACGTAATATGCTTGACAACATATCATTTTACGTTCGAAGTCAACATTGTGTCGTAAGAACCTAGTTTTCGCGTTATCAGTCAATCGCTAGCATACAAGAAACTAGTCAGCTGGAAAGGTGAGTAAAGAAAATATTTATTCCCCAGAGAAGTAGAAATTTTCTCATCGCTTCTAAAAAAAGCATACCCGTGATTGCCGTAAAGAAGAAAATTGCGACGTTCGAAAAGCACGCAGTCATCATCATCATGATCGTTTGATTACACGAGTCAGGCAGTCGCAGTGGGAAATTGCGAATTTCGTTTCGATCTGATTCGCTTCTATTTTCCGCGATACGAATTACCTCCGTTCAAATGATCTCTGAATCCTTTTGGGAATCGCTGGAATAAATGGATCAGATTGCTTGCTGAATTCACTCGAAAATAATCAATCGTAGAACTTCTGTTCGATTGCTACGTAACTCGTTTTTTTCTAACACCGAGTTACATTTCCAGGAATTGGTGCTGATTGAAACGGTGAAAGTAGATCGAATTCATAATAACGGATATGCTAAAGTACAGGGATAGTGATTTAATGCTTGGCCAACTTCGACGAAAGCATTTCTTGCTCGTATCTTCCTTAATCTACCCTTTTCATCACGTCCGCTTCACCCGTTCTTTCTCATAATTTATCAGATTTTATGTGCGCCCGTCATACAGAGTTAAGGTGAAAGCAAATCGTATCGGGATTGACATTGTGGATATTTTTCTGGGTCACACGGCAATCCTGTATGCGGCTGTATGTTAAGCGAAATGTCAGCGAGGGAAAAACAACGAGTAACATTTGACGTTGATGAATCATAACGTATCGTCCGGAGGATCGAATATTCACCCTTCTTCACCGTTGATTTTCGTCCACCCTGTATAGAACAGTCGAGTCAAATGAGAAATGAAGATGTGACTCGATAACCGACGTAGTGACGGACGGAACGACGCAATTTTTGTTCCCGTCGTTTATTCTCCACTCAACGTTCAATCGTCAACGTCGTCGGATATACAATTCGTGTCGTGCAAACGCGAGCTTTCGCTATTTACCACCGGCGACTGAGTGCTTACGCGCACGAATCTAATTTCTGCTTCTAGAAATAAATCCGTATTATAGTCCGCTTGCATTTGTCTCGGTTCCGCGAGCTCAGCCCGTGTCCCCCTTTCCAAACAGAGCCTGAACGATCTTCCACGTCGAGAGCTGAATCTCTTTTTATTTTCATTCTCAATTTCGAGCCAGTAATATATCCTTAAAACGAACCCGAGTTCCTATGAAAAATGCATGCACGTATTCCACCGGTGGAAGGTTTCGGCACGAGGTTACGACGTCATGTCCATCTAATTATGGTCCGGTTGGCATATGCTTTGCTTCTGAGTCAGCTGTTGACGTTCTTTTAAACGTTTCGCTTCTAGCATTCGTCCGTCCCTTCTTCTCTTCTCATCTATTTTCTCGCGTTTCTTCGTCAAAGACACTTTGAAAGCCGCCGTTTTATGCACGTACAGGTGGCGGTGCCACCAAGCATTCGAGCTCTCAGTAATTTCGCGAGGTTTAACGCTTATACTTTTTACGAGGTTTGACGCTTTTTATTTCCTTTTTACAATCACCAAGAGGAACATGCATTTATTTTTACGACTGTGTTACGTAGTAAATGTCTTTTCTGGTTTATGCCGAATACGTGACCGGAAGTGGAATACACGATAAAAAAATGTTTGCCACGGTAGAGAAACAGGCATTTCCAATTCCCATTGGCTGCTCCGAAATATACGCGGTGCTTCCGAAGTCGTCGAATCGTACGTAGTTCAGCCGAAAATTATACGATCTGTCTTTAAAAATTACATTGATTGTACAAAAAATTATTTAACACACGATTCAAAATTGAAGATCCTTGAA